AATAGCAGTGTTCACCTTAATACCAGTAAACAGCAACCAGCAATTTCACCTTCTCTGCTATTCGCAATTGATCCAATTTGACAAATTCTCCAACAACATAGATTGATTTTAACAACTTACGTTTTTTTTAAGGTAACAACTTTGGAGAAGATGGGGGTACCAACAGTTACTTATATTCAGGATACTAACAAAAGTACCGTTGAAGTGGGGCCCACCAAATGGCAAACTTAACAGCTTCAGTCAAATGGTACTGAATTTTGACAACAATAATTTGAGTGGTAGTATAATAATTTTTTTTTAAAGAGGTAGAAAAATTGAGGTGCATGACTTTTAGTGGTAGCAAATTTGAAATTGTCCTTTTAATTATAATTCTGCAATTTTAATGTAAATATGATATACAAATGATGGATTAAAGATCACAATGGAAGCTGAAATATTGTTAGAAATTGGATGCATGAAGTTGTTTTATTATATGGGAAGCAAGCTAGAATCGTGACAATTCAATTTTGGGCTGATACCGTTAACAATATTCTTCATTTAGCTAATACTTGTATCTCTTTTGATTGTCTCATGTTGGTAGAAAGGATAATGGGTAGCACATAGGCTAGCTCATCTTAGTAAGGAGTACAATGAGATGAGAGTTTGGAATGAAGAAGTCACTCCTAATGTTGTTGATGCAATTTTATATATTTGACTCTTTAAGCTTTAATTAATAAATTTATTCTATTTTCCGTAAAATAAAAAACAGAAAAATCATATTCAGATTTATATATTCGCTAATTAAAGTTATATTATTAAAAAATATTGCATATAGCGACGAGTTCTATTATAATGAGGGTAAATTAACTAATTAAGTGACAAAAAAACCTCCATATGTTAAGACAATCATAAATCTCATATGACTAAACCTAGTGTAATATTTTTCTAAATGATCAAATGTATCAAAATAATTTTATATATACTAAAATTAAGTGGAGATGATTTGCATAAGACCATGGTGTTTATTTAAGTCACCAAGCATCTTAATTTAGTCGGTTAACGTATTTGGGATAAGGTTATTACTTTCATTGGGTGAGGATTCCTAACCTTTTCTCATCAAATTCAAGTGCCTAAATTACAAATATTGGACCAAAAAAATTCATGAGAATATGCATGTGAGAGTGTTTGAATGAATGCTCTTTGGTTGCTGTAAGAAAAACTACAATGTGTAAGCTATTTTGTACAAATGAATAGAAGTGCCTATTTATATGTCTCATTGCCCCTAAGTCTCCAAATTCTAGATATCTCTAACCTAGAGTGTTCTACACTAACTATCTAGAATAAACACCCAAATGAACTTACATGCAATGATGTTTCTACACATTACCTTAGAAATACTTACTTGCTCATTTCGTCCCTATTTAGTTGACAATTTTAATTGCCTTTTTATTTTTATTGTGTGATAGTGGACACAATTCCTTATATAATTTAAAATTAAGAGGATAGTGAGTTGAAATTAAGGTGAGAGATATAATTTAATATAAGTTCATGGGTCCATGACATGTACTAAATAAATATTTGTCTAAAACATCTTTGAGTCCAGATCTACTTACTTTAAGTGCATCTTTGAGTCCCATTGATGGATATAATAAGCACTTTAATGTGGAAAATATTCGTCTCCTTGCAGAGAAATACTATATTGAGGAATTTTTCAAAGCACGAAAAATCACATTTGAAGTATCAACATTTTATTGTGATGTTCCTAAGCACCCGAATATGAAGGACTTGAATACCATTACTGATTTGTGTAGAATGAAGTTTGGTGGAGTCTAAGCTAGGTAATCAGTTGTTTATCCATTAATTGATTTATTGTTTCGACTTATTTTGACCCAACTTGTTAGCACAACAACTACAAAAAGAGTTTTCTCGGCAATGAAAATTGTGAAAATTAGTCTTCGAAATAAGATGGAATATGACTTTCTTTCCAATTACTTGCTAGTGTATATTGAGGAAGGAGATTGTTGGAAAATTCGAAATAAAGTCAATCATATATGACTTTTATTCTATGAAACTTAGGAGAGCTTGGGTTAAGTGATTAGTATATATATATTTTTTTTTGTACTTCAAATTTTACAAACCTTTTTATTTTAGGAAAATTTGGTATTTATTAATCCCAACTTTGGGCCATTTACTTTAATTAATCCCAACTATTGATTATTCTTGAATAATCCCAACTTTGGGGGGCGTTTTCTTTTATCAGACCAAATGACCGGATTAAAAGGTAACTTTTTTTTTTCTTAAATGCCACGTGTTGCAATTTCATTAGTAAATAATAATAATAATAATAATAATAATAATAATAATAATAATAAAAAAGAAACCTACCTATCTAGCCCCATCCTCCCTTTAACTGGAAAACACCCACCCCTCCCCCTTCCCCAGCTGGAAATAACCACCCCCACCCCCTCCCTTTCCCCAAACCCGACACCCACTCCTGCCGAAAAATGACCTCCTCCCCTTCCCCCTGTTGGAAACGACCCCCCAACCCCTTCATCCACCGAAATTTAGCACCCAAACCCACACCCAAACCACTGGGTTTTAACTTAGGGCGCTGGATCCCGATGGATGAAAGGGTGGGGGTTGTTTCCGGCTAGGGGGAAGGGGAGGGGGGTTGTTTTCCGGCAGGGGGAGATGGAGGGCGTTTTACGGGATGGGGGAAGGGAGGGGATGTTTTCGAGAGTGTCGGAACGCCGGTCGGCGGTTTTCGGGAACGATGGGGCTGGATTCCAGCAGGCAGGGAAGGGGAGGGTGTTTTGGTGGGAGTGTTTCCGGCGGGGGGAAGGGGAGGAGGGTGGGGGCTAGTGGTTTTGTTTTTTCATTTTATTTAATTTTTTTATAAACAAATTTGTAATTTTATTTAATTTTTTGGACAAATCACGTGTTAACACATGTCTAATAACCTGGTATAACAGCTTATTGACTTTTGTTGACCGGTTAGGGCCTGATGAAAGAAAATTCCCCTCAAAGTTGAGATTATTCAAGAATAATCGATAGTTGGGATTAATTGAAGTAAATGGCCTAAAGTTGGGATTAATAATACCAATTTTTCCTTTATTTTAATGGTTTATGTTGAATTTTTTTTTAGCAAATTACATATGCATTTATGACTTGTCGTCTTATTGAGATATTATTTTAACTTTATCGATTAGGCCACCCCGGCCCCTTGAAATTTTTTTGATTACGCCATTAATAAGGGCAATGACCTATACCACTATTACGCTATACAATGCTTGTGATGATGGCGTGGGAGACGAGCGACCCAAATAACGAGCTAGTTATTATATGACTATTAGTGCATGCATCGGTCAAATATACTACGTACATGCATATATTTGTTGCATCAAAATAGACCCACTTTTCATTTCTTCAGCTGTTCAGCAATTTTGTTTTGGAAAATTAGTCATTATTTAAACTTATTATGCAATCGTACCTTTAAAGCAAAAATGTTTATGAGTTATTTCCTTTTAAAATTTGGAACTTTGACTATTACGAAGTACAATACAATTACAATAATAGTGTATGTGTTCAATCAATTCTCTTCCACTACTAGTCGTGTGAAAATATTAAGTGACGAACTATATTATTTTCTTAAATGGTAAGTCATAAAAAGATTGGTTTCAAAAAAAGTCATAAAAAGATTACTATGAGGTACAAAAAATATATAAAAACTTTGGGTCAAATTTAATGAGGTGATGTATGTAAAATACATGCACTAGCAACAGTAAATAACATTATCTCCAAAAACCAGTAACATTATCAAGAATTGCAGCAAGGTGATTGACTATAACATTCAACCTAAGAGATTGTGATATATGAAAAGTTATTTTAAAATAGTGGTCTTTATTTTTCACAAGTGGTCTTTAAGTGACCAAATGATGATAATTTTCACGAGGAAAATGGTCATAATAGGGTGGAGTTTACCTAATTCTTGATCAAGACTTCATTCCCATAAACAATTTTGTTTATTTATTTTTGTGTGAAATTGTGGAAACATGTATGAGTATAAATTGTTGTATGGTAATTAAGAATATAAGTAAACAAAATGAGGATTAGTAGTATTCCATTGACCCATAATACTATGCATGGTAATTTTTTTTTTCTCATAATACTTTGTAGTATTATGATTTTTTTTATTGAAGATGTAGGTACAAATTAGTTCAATAATAATAATATTTATTTCTTGCCATATGAATTATCCTTATATTCTAACTTTTTGTAAATTTATAACATATAAATGGTTGGACATGATAAATTTGACCATAAAAAGTCAAATGTTAAGAATGAAGGAAAAAAAAAGAGATGAGATTAAGGTTACATTTTTTAACAAAAATATGATTGTGAAATAGGCTAATTTGCGATTTTCCAAAAAGAAGACCCTTCGATCATGATTCTCACTATATCCTCCTCCTAATATTCATATCTTTTCAGATTAATAGAAATCAAGAAGATCATACAATAATGATAATCCATCCCAATGACATCATGATAAAGGGAAGATAGATTATGTAATCAATACCATCTCACAATTACATAATTCGAGTTAGATTATGTAAATAGTTAATTACCCCCAATTCAATCAATGTTATACACTACTTATACCCAAACTAAAAGTCCTCATAGTTTTATTTTATCACTATAGAACGGCAATCTTTTATTCAAACGGTACCAAATCAAGCCTGATATAATACGAGTATTTTTTATTCCCATTTTCGTAATTTGTTTTGTAGGTCGGTAATAAACACAATTGATCGAACAAGTCATAACATTTTTTTTTTTTTGGGAATCGAACAAGTCATAACATAACATTTAAGAATTTATCCGAAAATCTTTATGTTTTGTTAATAATCTAATAATGCCAATTATGCATATAAGGATTAAGGAACGTGTAGTCAAATTAAAGAAAAACCCCCACTATATTAATTACTCATAACTCATGATTATTGATTATTGATTATTGATTATTGATTATTAATCTTTCTCACCTATTCCAAGTTTGTGTCTTCCCGCTAAAGCACACACACAAACAAACTTCTCTCTCCTCTCTCTGTTTCTTTCTTGCATTCTAAAATCTAAATTCCTCATTTTCTCTCTCCTCCATCTTTCTTCACCAATCATAAACTGCAAAATCTGTCCTTTGCTTCTTTCAGGCTCAATCAATTTACCAGCAATTGTATTTTTTGGGAGAAAATTATAAATTTTTTAGAAAAATATTGATGATGCTTTAGTCCCACCTTCCATAACCATATCCCTTTCTTCAATCTAACTCCACTTCTTCATCAAATTTTTTTAAATTTCCCCCAAAATAAATTAAAAAAATTAAATACCCACAACATTTCTTTCTTTGTTTTTACTCAATTTCCTAAAAAGGTAGGATTTTTCCTTAAAAAAAATTGTGGGTATTAATTTTAATTGAAGAAAAATTAGTGAGTATTAATTAATTTTTCAAAAATGAGTATAGAAGTAGTGCAATCTTCAAGTATAAGTTCAATTCAAAGTAGCCCCACTAGAAATGATGGTTTGTACCAGCAATATACTCGTAATAATAATAGTAATAGTAATAATAGTAATAATAATAATAATAATAATAATAATAATAATAATAATAATAATATCAATACTAGTAATACTTGTTCTGAAGAAGAAGAGTTGGGTGGAGGAGAGAGAAAAAGGAGGAGAGAAGTTGAAGAAGAAGAAAGAGAATTTCAGTTAAAATTTGTTGGATTGTTTTTCACTGCTTTTAGGAGATCTGTTTTTGGGTGTTCTTCTTGTGATATTAAATCAGGGTTTTCAACTTCAAATTCGGCTTCGAATACTTCTTTTGGTGGGATGGAAATTGGTTTGCCTACTAATGTGAGGCATGTTGCTCATGTCACATTTGATCGATTCAATGGCTTTCTTGGTCTTCCTGTTGAATTTGAGCCTGAAGTCCCTAGAAGTGCTCCTAGTGCTAGGTAATTATGACGTATACTTCTTTGTTCGGAATTAATAGTCGTGTTGATTGTGTAATTTGAATTTGCAATGTGACAACTATATCTCTTTGTTCGGAATTAATAGCTGTGTTGATTGTGTAATTTGAATCCGCAATGTGACAACTATATCTGGGCGGAGGCAGTAATTATTTTAAAATGCTATTCTTTGCTTGATTGTTTTATGTTCTTTGTATCTGTATTTGTTGTTTGAATTGAATTGATATTTGAGTTTTTTGTTATTTTTTTTTTTTTTGAAAATTACAATAAAGTAAATTACTTTCTTCATGGTAAACAATGTCTTTAGATTTTCATTTGTTTTACTACGTAATAAGTAAGAGTTTTTATGCACTTTTTAAAAATTTGCTCCTTTTTTCAAAGTTTTGAATTTGAATTTTACGTTTGAGATATAAGCTCTAAAACAACACTAAGTTAATTTCATTATTATGCTAAGTTTGTGTTCACCATAACCCGTGTAGACCTAATCCGACATGGAAATATATGTGATACAGCCGTTGTATAAGATTTCTCTTAGTCGGTTCGACAAATGTGTATGAATTATTACAATCTAACTATTGATATGCCATATAAATATACAATTCTATAAATCCCTTCCCCCTTTTTCCGGCTTTTGTTAACTGTTAATCACCATGTTTTAGACCATAATTTGAGTTACTGTGTTTTTAATTGCTGGTAAAAGAGGCATAGTCTTGAGAAATGGGACCATCTTTAATCCATAAAGTTGTATGTAGGGGATAATAAAGAGGTAAAGGTGGTTCCTCATAGTCTCAATCTAGGGACATCCAAGTAGATTTGCTGGGGCAGAAGTAATTTTTTTTTTTGTGGGCCAATATATGTTTTTTTACAACATGATACGAATAGTAATTTGAAATTTTGAATCAGTAATTCAAAAAGATAGACCCCAAGAACAAACTTTGATATTGATCTCGCGATTAGTAGTTGGTATCGTGTCTCAGTATTCAAGATTTGCACAGTTTGATTGCTGATAAAGATGTAAAATAAGGCTAGTTTTTGCTATAATGGTTGATCGATTCAGCTAAGAGCATAGTAATATATGAACTTTCATAAGGCTTTTGTGGTTCTCATCTTTATGTGGAATGTTTTGAAACGAATCATGATGATCTGTTTAATTATGACTGTTATGGAACTAAGCTTGCAAATTCATTTGGCTGTTGTGCTTTTCATTATAGTACCACAGTTTTTGGAGTCTCGACCAATTCCATGCAACTGTCCTTTGATACCAGAGGAAACAGTGTGCCTACAATACTCTTGCTAATGCAACATCGGTTGTATGCTTTAGGAGGTCTCGAAGTAAGCATTTTCTTTCTTCTCTTTACCATTTATTTTTAAACACCACCTCAACAATGTTCTTTTTTCCTTGGCTTGCAATTGATGAAAATTAAAATGAAAATGTCTAGGCAGAAGGAATTTTCAGAATTAATCCTGATAATGGGCAAGAAGACATTGTCAGAGATCAACTAAACCGAGGACTAATTCCTGATGATGTCGATGTTCATTGCCTGGCAGGTCTAATTAAGGTAATGCCTGAAATATTATCAGAGCTACAGCTGCTTAACTTTAGTGGCATGGAATAACAATGGAGAATAATCAGATTGTTTGTGCTTTTTTCTTAGGCTTGGTTCAGAGAACTTCCAACTGGTGTTTTAGACTGTCTTTCCCCAGAGCAAGTCATGGAATCGCAGACAGAAGAGGAGTGCTTTCAGCTTGCAAGGCTTCTCCCCCCAACAGAAGCTGCTCTTCTGGATTGGGCTGTCAATCTGATGGCTGATGTTGCACAGTTTGAGCATATGAACAAAATGAATGCACGTAATGTTGCTATGGTGTTTGCTCCAAACATGACTCATGTAAGTAAAAAAAAACTTTAAGCCATGCAGTTAAACATAAGTGTTGATCAGTGATCACAAATAATGATTTTAGGTGGGAATAATGAAAGTTTATTTCTGAAGGTTAGTTATAGTTTCTGTTTGATCATGCTGTATTTTGCGTTTTTGTATACTGATTTTTGGACACAGCTTCTCTATTCTGTCCGGACCTAATTAGTGTGTCTATGAGCTAAAGCATTTAGGCTATCTCCAGTTTTATACCATCTCGAGTCACTTTGCTTCTAGTATGATTTTCTTTCTTTTTATTCTTTGACAATTTGATTTTTAATGCTGTTGTCATGAAATGCAGATGGCAGACCCTTTAACAGCATTGATGCATGCAGTCCAAGTGATGAATTTTCTGAAGACACTCATTGAAAGGACTCTAAAAGAAAGAGAGGATTCGGTTTTAGATTCTGCTCTTGATTCTTACAGCAGGGATCCTTCAGGTGACAATGGTTGTCACACTCCCTTGCAAACCATTCATGAGGAGAATACTGAAAGTGAGCCAGATGTTGTAGAAAACCGTACTTCTGAAGCCATGAACCCTGCTGCAGCCGATCAACCAGCCACCTCGGCTGAGAACATTAATACCATTCCTGGAGAAAATCAGTCCTCAGTTAGCAATCACAGAGAAGAAGAATTGACACCTGCAGACACCAAAACCAAGCCATCTAACAAGCAGAAGAATAGTAGAAATGGACAGACTTCTACAACTAAAAAGGGACCTAGAAAGAGTAATGAAAAACTGGTTGTTCAGATTGCCTCCAAGTCAGCAGAGAAAACTAAGGGATCCATCCTTGTTAGCAGTGTGAAACCAAGGAATGAGAGAATTGAAGCTTGGCGGTAAATCTTGTTGTGCTTACTCCACTTTATAATAGATCCATGTCTTCAGTTGGGGGGATGGTTGTATTGTCTACATCTTTTGTGGCTGGTGATCCAAAGTCGAAATTGTAGTTTCGCTTTGGAATAATGTATTTAGTATCTATTATGGCTTTTCTTGGATGATTTTATCTGTTGTATGAGTGGTCTGTTAACCTGTTCTGAAGTGATTTGGGATGTTTCCTTTTTAACCCCAGAAGAGCTAACAGTTGTATGTTTTAAAAGCATATTTAGGCTTTGGATTTTTGTATGAATCAAGTCCTTAATTTGCTAATAACATTGTATAGTTGGCAATATGGCATGTTATCATGTTATGACTTAAGTTTGAAACACATTTTGGAGCTTCTGGCATAGAATTAGTATGAATACCTTGAGAAGATCATCTGTCCTGAATTTTTGACAAGACAATGACAACGCTTTATGATCCATGTAAATTCAATATCATTTGCAGGAAAATAAACTTCTATAAGGTCTGTGAAGTATAAGTAGTGGAAACTTCTAATGATAGTGTTAACATAATTTCTATTAGAAAGTCAAAAAAAACACAAAAATAGGTTAAATCAGGCGCATACACAAGATGACAAGAATTCAACACATATTACACCCAACTAGATGTGTGCCACACGAGTGCTCATTGAATTTTATTAAAATTTGTGAACGTGTAGTATGAGTTTTTATTTACTTCGTAGTACTCACTTTGTCTATCTTCTGTAGTTACGTTTCCATTTTTATCGTTTTCTTTTGTACTTGCATTTATATTTGCACACAAAGTTACATGTATGCAATGCAACTATTCTCATTTACTAAAATATTTATTTACCTATATATATATATATATATAATCCATCTCAAAGCAGCTATTCTCATTTACCAAAATATATAGTAAAGAGATTGAGGGAGTAGTTATTCACCAGATTCTTTGTAATGATCTTGCTAGTGAACATCTCCCGGCGTTAGATAAACATTTTAAAAATACCAGAATTACGCGTCATTCGGTGTAATTAATGTTAATTTTAATTTAATATATTTCTACTTTAGCTATCCATCTCAATGCAATGCAACACATAATTTCTACTTTAACTATCCTATCAAACGCCCTCTGGACATTCGTTAGTTTTTCCTCTTCCTAATTTTATTTTTTTTTGACAGGCTCTTCCTAAATATTGAAATGTCACACTTTGTTTACTAAATACGGAGTAGGAATCAATCTTTTTTTTTTTTGGGTTTTTTTTTACATAGTAACCTATTTTTTTCATTTTTCTACGCTGTGACCTAACATATATATCTTTCTACGCTGTAATCCTAAAATATATAACTTTCTACGCTGTAATCCTAAAGTACGAAAAGTCATTACATTGTGACCCCGCCTTTAAGTTGCCGTTAGTGGCTTCCGTTAAAATCCAAAAAATAATTTTTTTTTAATTTTTTGCATTTCCCCTTCCCCTTTCCCTTCTGCCCTCCATAATCACCAGAGTTGCTTCCACCATCCCCACCACCATCCCCTTTCCCTGCTTCCACAATCGCGACCACCACCATCACCGCCCAGACCCCCTTCCCCTCCCCCGGTGCCGGCGCTGCAGCTAAACCCAGACCCCAGAACCATCATTGCCACCAAACCAGACCCCAGCCAACCCAGGAACCACCGCCACCAAATCAGACTCTGGAACCACCGCCACCAAACCAGACAGCCAACCCCAAAACCCCCTTCGAAAAATCAAAAGCCCACCAAACCAGACCCCGTGAAACTGGTTGGCATTCGCTCTCTCTCCTCCCTGTAGAACTCCAATTCCTTTTTCTCTCTCCTCTAAAGCAACTCATCCATGGCTAACAGTTTTTTGCTCCGAAGAATCCCAAGGTCGGATATTAATTGCATAATTGGTAGTGATTTGCAGGTATATTTTCTTCCAAGTCTCAATTTTTATTCACAATAATCCAATTTTGGATGGTTTTATTGTGTTTCGGGTATTTTGGATTGAAAATTGGGGCACATTCATATCAATATCATTATCGAATTTGACTTTTGAAACTAGTTAATTTGAATTATTTTGTATTACTGTGATATATGATTGAACATTTCGTTTCACTACTAAATGGGTATTCTCTACTCAACTTTAATTGTATCATCACTCTTTATTTCGATATTATTGAAGTAAGGTTTTGACTTTTTTTTTCCCCCAAATTGAGTACTGGCGATTTATGGTCTAATATGGGTTTGATTGATGAATATTATAGATCTTAGAGATTATTTATATACATTGTTAAGTTTAATATTTGCTAATTTTTAATTCAATTCTGAAAATTTGGCCTTTTATTATTTTGTGTTTGAAGCACGATTTGAGTTTAGTAATGTTTGGCACACTCTTTGATTATTTCTGGGTGGTCGGGGTCATGTTGGTGGTGGTCGCGATTGTGGAAGCAGGGAAAGGGGATGGTGGAAGCAACTCTGGTGGTTATGGAGGGAAGAAGGGAAAGGGGAAGGGGAAATGAAAAAAATAAAAATAAAAATTATTTTTTGGGTTTTAACGGAAGCAACTAACGGTAGTCTAACGGCGAGGTCACAATGTAGTGACTTTTCGTATTTTAGGGTTACAGCGTAGAAAGTCATATATGTTAGGTCACAGCGTAGAAAAGTGAAAAAAACAAGGTTACTATGTAGAAAAACCCTTTTTTTTTTTATAGGAAGAGTAGGAATCAATCTTTGTTTAAAAAAAAAAAAGTGTTAATTTAACGCTGCCAAGAAGTGAGCCTAGGCATTAGATAAGCTCGGCACGATGGTACGTGGGCCTATACCGTGCACGGGTCAAACTTTTAAAACTTCGGCCGGCACAAAACTTGTAGCCGAGCCATGGATTGGGCTAATCTAACTCCAAAGCACGTAGGTCTGGCACGAGGCACGATCCATACCCATCTCTGAGTATAACAGGACAAGAGGTACATAGTAATGTTAGTATGAGTCAATTTAGAAAATCAGAGGTATAGCCGTACAGTCATTGAATGCTGAAATTTGATGATTGAGTATGAAGAAGGAGGCCTTTCCCTAAATAATGTTGGGAAATTATCTAATTCCCAAATTACAGCCCATCTTTTTTTAATTCCCAAATTATCGCCCACGCAGCTAAGGAAAAAAAACCGATTTTTTTTATCGGTCCAGCAATAAACCGCTACTTGAAGTAGCGGTGTTCTGGGAATAAACCGCTACTTCAAGTAGCGGTTTCAATTTCATACGGTTTCAATCTCATACACCGCTACTTCAAGTAGCGGTTTGCCTTAAAGATTCTCATTCATCAGTCTCCCCATTTTCCTCTTTTTCCCTCTCCTCCAAACCTTCCGGCTTCCTTCAATGGCGTCTCTTGCCATCTCCTTCTCATCTTCCCTCTCCTCCACCACGCTGAACCATTGAACCCACCAAAGCAGCCCCAGCCACCCTCACCCAGCCACCAGCAGCGAAAACAACAGCCTACTCCCCGAAAACAACCACAACACCCACACCAGGCCACCTCAATTGAGCCACCACCATCAAACCACCACCGCGATCCAACCCACGATCATCAGCGTTCACAAAATCGCACCACCTCCAGGCGTCGGTGGCCGTCGCGGCGATGACCGTCCGTCAAAGCCGACCTTTAATTCCCCGACAGTAGATTGTGAAGTTGGTATTCGATGATTAAAAATAAAAACTTACCACAGAAGCTGCTTTAATGGAAGAGAGAACGGTGCTTCAATGGTTAGATTAACATAGAAATCTGCCCTCAACATACAAAAGGTGCTTCAATGGTCATTCACAAGTTTTTTTATTTTATTTTATTTTATTTTATTTTGTAAATACCTAAAACTGCTACTTCAAGTAGCGGTTTATCATAGTAAACCGCCACTTCAAGTAGCGGTTTTCATAAAAACCATAAAAAAAATAAAAAAGAGGTTGAACCGGTGACATGGACTAAAAAAGTGGGAAATTATAAAAAAAAGTGACAGTATTTGTGGAATTAAATCTTTTGATAGCATTATCTAGGGAAAGGGTTCAAGAGAAGTGAGTATCAAAGTTAGGAATTAGGAGTGTTCAAAAAAAAAAAAAAATAGGAATTAGGAATTTCCCCTTTTGATTGGCTCGCCACCTATTCACCGTCTCTCCTCCATTGAAGCATACTCACGAATTTTCCATTGAAGAGGCTTCTGAGTTTTCTTTCCACCATTGAAGCTGCTTCTGAAGTAAGACATTTTTTTTAAATCATCGAATATCAACACAATTCAGGGTTTATCATTGATTAATTGTTAGTATATTCAATTTAGGGTTCTTCAAAAATGGATTATTAAACTTTTGATTATAATTGCTTAAGTTACGAATGTTTATAACGATTGATTTTGTTGCTAGAATTTTGATATGTGCAATGTACGCTGATTTTTTTTAAGCGAGAAGAATTTAATGTGATTATATATGCATAAGATTATATATGCATAATGTTGCTTCTCACATGATATCACACAATCTTGAACGCATGATTTTAATTATGATTTATTTTTGAGCTAGTTAAGGCCCATTCTCTGAAGAATGGTCCTTTTCTTACGCTGTGTATAACAGTGCCAAATATTTTGTGTACAAAGAATTGTATTCGGTAACAAGTCTAACAACTCAACCAGAAGGTCCTGTATTAATGACATAAAATCTAAGTATTACATCAAGGATTTATGAGTTGTAGCTGCAGGTGAACTCATTATCAATTATTTTAACTTTGAGTATTGTAAGAACGAAAATAACAAGGCAGCTGATTTGTATATTGTATATATCATGAGAATATGAGATGTTCCCATCTTAGTTTTCAATTGTTTGTGTTTTTTCTACAGGTGCTTCGTAATTTTTACTAGTTCACAACAACTAACAACTTCTAACTATAATGAACAAACATGCGCTGCTTCAACAGACAGTTTTCTCTCTCCAGTCAGCCTCTGCATCCTCTTCCTCTCCCACCTCGAGGGTACATATGTTCTACCTTTATTCTCCAACTTTGATTAGAATGGATTAATTTTTATTTTTTTGTAACAATTTCTTGCTTGGCTTGTTCACTTCGATGCTGTAATAAATAGAAATTGATGTTTCTGTGGAACTTTTATAGGGAAATTCACTTGTGGTATGTCATTCCTGATGAAATAAAGAGTTCATCACTCTTGAAGCAGTATCTGGATATCCTTTCCCCTTCTGAAAAAAAAAGTGTTCTTAGCTTCCGAGAAGACGAGGTCAGGAAGAAAGCCCTCTTAGCTCGTGCTCTGGTTCGCACTACCATTGCTAGATGTCAGTACTCATCTCTATTTGTTTTGGATTTTTTTTAATTGTTTGTGTAAATTGAATTGGTCATAGGGTATGTCGTGGCTTTTTGAAGGGTTTTTGAGCTTCCAGGGATTGGGTGACCTTTTAGCTTGCAATGCCTTCCTGAAATATTTTGTTAATCGAGCAATCTCTAAGCAACCAAATTTCATCAATTGTTTTCAGATAAGATAGGATACTGAGTTTTTTTTTTTTTTTTGTTATTTATTTATTTATTTTTTGTGTTTTTTTAAGTTTGGTAGCAAACTGATAAATTTACAAACTTTCATGCTTCATTAATATAAACTTAATGCTTCATAAAGATGTTGAGTTGTGTTGATGTGCAACATGTGTGTATCTTTCAACTTCTGGAAATAGAATAACTAACTGACTCTTTAATTTGAGCATGGTTAAGTAGGCTTCTAGAGTGCATTCTTTAATTTGATGCCATTGTAGCATATGGAATTATGGATACTATGATAAGCTCCATATTGTTTAACCACAATAAATGAGGTTCTGGGTTTGTGCTCTTGACCTTTTATGTTAGGACTCTTTAACACTACAAGCGGTTGACTTCACAATTCTTATGCCATCCGTTTGTTTATAATAGACATGTCTCCCTTAATTAATGAATCACTGATTTTCTGATTGCATTTCATGGTAGATCAGACAAATTCTTTTGTTGACCCGAGATCTTTGAAGTTTAAGAAAAACACCTATGGAAAACCCGAGGTTATTGTCGTCTTCCCTTATATAACTGTTGATTTCATTACTCTGGTTTGTCATATGTCTATGTTCTCTTATTATGGTTTCTCTTCATTTTGTAGGTTGATTGGCAAGATGTACCTGATATAAGTTGGCCACCATTGCATTTTAATTTGTCACACACCTCATCCTTGATTGCCTGTGGAATTACAACCTATTCTCCTGTGAGATATACTTTTTTTTTTTTTTTTTTTTTTGCCTTTTTAGCTTATGAAAATTGCTTACTTGATGCGGACATTTGATTTGATTCTCTGTGCCATATAGATTGGAATTGATGTTGAAGATAAGAATAGAACAACAAAAAATGATGTCATATCATTTGCTCGTCGCTTCTTCTCTCCCTGTGAAGTTGATCACTTGGCCAATATTTCAGAACCGGAATTACAACGCCAGGAATTTATAAAATTATGGACACTCAAGGTAATGACTAATATGGTTTATGTTATAAAACTTCATGCACTAGCGTGACATGTGTGGGAAAAACTGTTCCTTTTGTTGAAAATTTTCAGGCGACAATGAATACAGTTTAGTAATTGTAAAACTGCTTTACTTTTCCTCAATTTTACATTTTAAGATATGAAGTATTTAAGGGTTCCTAAAAAGTGTTTGATACCTATATTGCTTAGAAATAGGAAACCCATCCATTTCTTATCATTAACCAAGGCATGTGAAAGTTGAATTTGTAAATGTCTGCAATATTAAGGGGGAGAATGAAAAGCATAAATTAAATTACACTCACTCTATGGATGTAGATAGGACTGACAAGCCATAAGCACTTAAATCTTGTGAATTGGCCCTTTCTATTCAGTATATTTTTTTGGCTTTGAAATTGAGTTGACAGTTGACAACATATCTGATGCTCAGATCTCACCTTACACGTGTAATTAAAACTTTCAGGAAGCTTATGTAAAAGCAATAGGAAGGGGCTTTTCGGCTACTCCATTTAAGACCTTCAGGATTCACTTGAAAGCTTCTTCAAAAAATATGTCTAATATTTCAGAAACTGCTGCTCTTAAGGTATTCCTTTGGATGTTCTCTGTCATTTTTTGATGAAGTTGATGCACTTTCAAATAGATCTTGTAGCTAGATGTTATTATATGACTGGAAAATGAAAGTTTGTGGCTTACTAAGATTTCAAAAATGGATGGGGTGTTATCTGTTTAGAACCAATCTGGACTATAATGGTCCTGTAATTTTAGTCCAGACTCGGATTGCTGGATTGTCTGGTTCCTTGAATTTATCTATCTTTTGCCAAAATACTACCGATACAGTGCCTTTTGAATATACCTCCTATGTTCTTAATCAATCAACATATCTTCTTTACAGACTCCAAGGCAAACCTTGTCCAATATTATCTTAAATTCTTAATAACATATACGTAAAATTTGTAAGAAGTTTATGATCAAATTTCACATGATTTAAACTTATTTAGTACATTTGTATAAATATGTGATCAAAATGTTTTAGTATGATCACCAAACGATCTTACAAAATAGCAAACAATTGGATAGAAGAAAAGTAGGTTGACAGATAAGCGGTGGGTACTGTATATCACTTGGCATTCTAAATTCCAGAAAGTACCTAGCTAGGAAAAGAAAGTTATAAATGTATAAAACCAACGTCCGTTAAACTTAAGCTAAATGTAAACCCTTTAAATTTGACTAGGGCGTTGTTGTCCAAGAGGGGATGGGAGGAGATACACATAGTCACTATAGAAATTGGTCAGCTAACCAAGTTGATAGACTTGACCAAAAAAAGAAGTCAACAGAAACTTGTTCCATTAATTCTCTCTGGATTTCGCTGCTTTGCTTTGCAGCAAATCGTTTTTGTAGTTTGCCAAAAGTTAGAGCTGAGGACTGGAGCAGAATCATGTGTTCTGGGGTTGGTCTAGATTAGTTGGTCTGATGTTCAAGTGCAGGCTGGATCTTCATCTGCCCCTTTTGACAATCTGTGATTCTGATTTTCTACCTTTTCATTGTATTTTTTACGAAGAACCTTTAATTGGGAGACTAATATCCTGGAATGCAGTAGTATATATATTAATATGTTGTTAGGCTCGTATTGAGAAGCCTTTCTTAATTTTTTAGCGTTGATGCTCAATCTTCAATCCAGACGTGTTTTGCGATGTCCTTTTCTAACTTGATTTTGGTTTTATCAGGATCTGGATAGATATTAGAAGCTTTTTCATTATTTGTGTACTACAGAAAAAATGCTACCATTTCTATTATGACAATTATGTTAACATTATATTGCTGATTTTTTGATACCAAAATTGTACAAGTGTTTGCAGCTTACCTATTTGTGTTTCTTTCTATTCTAAAAATTCTAACATGTTTGGTCACTTCCACCTCATGGTGATGCCAGGAATATGATATTGCTGTTGAATCATCTCAGTTTCAAACTGGGGAATGGCAGTTGGCCCTTCTTGACTTGGCTGATACTCATTATGCTGCTATTTGCACACAGAATGATAAATTCAGTAAAGGTAAGGTATAGTTTTATCAAATTACCGGTTTCAGAACATGGATACGGGATATCACTTGTTAATTTGGTCCACTTGTGCAGAAAATCTATCACCAATGGCTTTGAGAGTGTGGAAAACGGTTCCTTTTTTGGAAGATATGTGCACGTCTGGGACTCATTCCGTTATCACTGTTGGTGGGCTTGTCAAGCAGCTCTGATTGTTCAATTTTTCTGATGATAAGTACAAATATGGTGAAATTAGTTATTCGACAGAACAATGAACACAAGAAGAGAGCTAAATCGAGAATCAAGAAAGGGATTGCTGATAGTACATATTAACAGTGGATCTGATAATTGGGCAGAAGCTAAAATCAAATTATATATTTTTGGGTGTTCAAGAGGTTCTTACTTTGTACTTCGTATTATTTTGTTCAATTTATTTGTATAACCCTCCAACATTATGCAGAAAACTTATTTTGGTATTACAGTATTTTTCATTATTATCAACAGTTCACATTGTGGCAGTTGGGATATGCCCATCTGTTCAAATATATTCAATTTTCGCTTTGTTTACTGTGTGTTGGTATATACGAATTATCAAGTATAAAGTTTGTCAAATGTTGGTATCGCGCAAGCAAGCATCATAGAACACAGACCAAATCCTTAGAACTTTTCATTGTTCTTGTGTAGCAATTAGTTGTGGACTATGTACAGTGTTGATTTAACGCCTCTTTCCCCTATATAATCATCGAGATACAAGGTTCCCATGGCAGCAACAATATTTCGTAGCTTTGAATTTCCAAACTGTTTTGCAGTTGTATGCAGTCCTCATTTCCTTATCTTTTCAATCCACTTGTCACCTTTGTGTAGCAACATCTTCAGGACTCCTACCATTCAGTCCCTTTTTCTGTAGATACACCTTCATAATTTTGGTAATCTGTTCACAGCTCATAAAATTCTAAGGTAGAATTACTATAAGATCAACTGTTCTCATCAGTTGCTACCGGTAGTCTTTGCAAGAACATGCTCCGTTTCTAAAATGATGGAAGCGAGTTGCATCTCTAACAACAATAAGCCGGTCCACAATCTTGCTAACTAGCTTTAAAAACAAGTGAAAGTCTACACATCCTCGAACAGATTCAACATTTTTATGAATCTTACAACCACCCAAAAGAGCTCCCCAAACAGATTCGTCGGGTTGCATTGGCATAGAAATGATGAGCTCATGAGCTTTGCCAAGACGACTAGCTCGTCCTAATAGATCAACCGTACAAGCATAATGCTCTTTTTTGGGCAATAAATTGTAATATGTTCTCATTGAGTAGAAATATGTTAAACCTGTATCAATTAGGCCTGCATGACTAAACGTAGATAAAACGTAACACTGACATAAACTGTTCTATCAGGTTGAACTCCACTACTAATCATCTCATCAAACAGATCAAGTGCAATCTCTCCTTGTCCATGCAAGCCATAACCACCTATCATAGCCGTCCAAATGATTAAGCTTATCTTGGGTGTATCATCGAAAATTGCAAGAGCCTTCACCAAATTTCCACACCTACAATGCATATTAATCAATACACTTCTCAAGAACACATTCGAACTATACCCTAAGGTTTCAATTCGCTTCTCCACGTCACAACCAATGCTACGAGCACCAAGGTGCGCACTAGACTATAAAACCCGAACTAACGTTACAACATTAGGACGGATCCTCAAGGACTCCATCTCATGGTAATGACCCCACTTAGTTTTGTAAAACAAATATTGTTACAAATATTTAAAAGATGAAGAAAAAAATAAATTATTTAACATTGAATTATTTAATATGAGAAAAGTGATATTAATTAATGATTAATGTATCAATATCAATAACTAGATTTAAGCCCGTGCGACGCATCGAGTCTCTATTAATAGTTAAACTAGGTTAGTTCCGTGCGATGCACGGTTTTAATAATAAAATTTTTACTTTTAAGTGTGTAATATAAATATTTTAAGCAAAACATAATCAATCCTAATCTCTCTCGTTATATTGATTGAGCTAAAATGAAGGACAACATGATATTTAATATTCTAATTTACTTCATAGCTATAATAAATTTTTTAAAATATTAGCATTCAATTTTCATTAATCAAATAAAATTTGAAGAGTAAAGAGAGAAAAATCCAAACTCCACAATCACTAGTAAAATGTTGGACATTGTTTTTTTTTTTTTAAAGAAAAAAATCTATGTAGGAGTAAAAAAAGAATGTGAAAGAGACTAATAGTCAATTATTTTTAATCCATAGGAATAGTAAATATGTATTTAGTCATAAAAGCTTTTAGAAAAATGTATAATTAATCAATCATTTCCAAACATTAGCTTTAACTCCAAAAAGGGAAAAAAAACAGAATGAGGTCAATTATATAGTTTTGGAGGGAATTTTTTTTATATAAAAGGCTGTCACGTGGATAATTATGATGTCAACGGTAATTACTTTAGTATCAGTTATGGATTTAATATTTTATTTAATAAAATAAAATTGTGGTATAATTACAAACTATGCATTCTGAGTTTGAATTTGAGCCTAAAACTAAAGGAACCTATCATCTATCCAAGGTTTCCTATTTAAAGTCTCGGGTGTGGGTCGGATAATTTAACAACTCTTTTTGCTCCTATTTGAATTCCTCCTATTTGTTTCTCTGTTCTAACATAACGGTTTACTTTAACCACCTATTTTGCAGGTTGTGCACGCAGTCTTGGCCTTCCTTGGCCTTCATGTGCTCCTGATGCTGGCGCTTTTCATTTCTTTTGTGCTTCAATTCTTCGGTTACATGAAACTTTTTCCTCCAACGAAAAGGAGGGGCTTGACTGTTTGAGATGCGTGGTTTTAGATTCTAGGAGTTTTGGGATGTTAATAATTGCATATTTGCCATATTTTTACTCCTTTATTCTATAGTCATCTTTTATTCATTATATGGAGTTATTATTACTAATTGAGCTTAATTACTATGTTTTGATGTTGTTAAGTGACATGGGATACGACTACAATTGGAGCAAATAAGAGCATCTCCAATGGCAAGCTACAATGCTTTGTAGCTTGCTTTTCCACGTCAATTTTTAAGCTATAACACTTTTTAGCAACAAAGTGTTCCAATGGTAAGCTACAACATGTTTAGTTTGCAAAAATAAAACTTTAAAAAATAAATAAATAATTGTACACATGTCACAATATGAGTGGAGTTTATTTGTCGCTTTTTCAATCAAGCATGTAACTTGTTTGGGCTACACTAGCTTGCAGGTTGCTCAATTTTTTTGTTCTCTAATGATAAGCATGTAGCTAGGAACCTTATTTATATTACAAGCAAGTCCTTAAAATTAAACCATTGGATTTCCACTCACCCACCCTTTTCCAACTTTCTCAGCACAATATTAACTAGAAAAACTGCACTTTTTCTTTCTCTTATTATTTTTGCTTACCTTTTTCTTTTTTGCTTCTCATCAGGCATGGAAGGAAATCAAATTTATGTCTCCAACAAATTGTGAAATTCCATAAAATCAATTATTCACAACAATTTTTCAAAAAGTCAACACAAATTATGCTTATTGAAGATACGAAATTGATGATATGGAAAGTAAGAAAATTGGCAATCGGTTAATTTCATTTATCACTCAGCAAATTTCAGATTTATTCTACTGTTTTCTTTTTTTGTTTTTGTTCGAAAATATGTATATAAGGGGAGTTTATGTGCTCATATGGGATACACAACCTAGCCGTTATCATGAGAGCAAGGGTTTTGATTGGATTTTAAATTGAGCGGAAGAAAAGATAGCCATTGGAGGGAAGTTTAGTCTCAAATTCAAGGTCGAACTAGAATAATGGAGAATCCCGGGGTCGAGACCGAGTATCGTACAAATGATCTTGAGCTTAAACTTAGAAGTGTTTTTTTTTTCGTAATTGTTTTGATTTTATACCTTGTTAGTTACCTTGCAAATCTTATTGGCTTATTTTGATTTAATTATTAGTATAATATATTGGTTTGGATTATTATAATCTACTTTAGTAATTTTTCTAATTTAATTAGTGTTTGAAGAAGCTTGTTATAAATCATCAATTTTGCAATATATGTTTGATTGTTAACTTTCATTGTGTGTGATTGTGAATGTTTGCTAATTATATGATTTGGCTTAGTTTAGATCATATAATGAAGTAGTCCTTCTTATGTTGAATCTGCAATTATGATTACAATGAGTTAGAAAGTAACTTAAATAAATTATTCTAAACATTTATGTGATTAGTTTACTTAGGACTAATGACGTCTCCTAATTTTTAATGCTGACATTTCTAAATTATATGAGCTACAATCATATTTGTATAAGTTAGAATGGCTTAGAGTCAATTTGGCTTTTGTAACCGGCTTAAAATAAGGGATGATAGGGAGTCTTTGTTATCTTAGGGGTTGTTTGGTTGGATCATTTGGAATGGGTTGGAATGGAGTTAGAATCCATTTCATCTAGTTTTTTGTTTGGCTGAGGTTTTTAGTAATTGAATCTCATACCCAAGGGGTTCTAACTCCCCCTCAACCCTATGGAATTCCATACCCACCCCTGCCCCAAAGATTCATAATCCATTTTATTAATGAAGGATAGAATTCATTCCAACAATAAAACCAAACAACTTTAGACTAGTATGAGTTTTAGAATCTGTACCTATCTAGTATGAGATTCCATACAAATTCATTCCAATTTAATGAACCAAACACCCCCTTAGTCTCTACAAGTAGTCTATTAATATTGGTACTTCTCGATAAGGTTGTTTCATGAATAACATTTGTAAGTAATCATTTTTATAAGCACTACAGTACACGGAGTATCTTAATTGTACTCTCTTTACTCCTGAATAATTGACACAGTCAAATTTAACACACATGCTAATAGTAGTTAAGAAAATATTTTAAACTAGTTATTATATGAAACTTTATATTAATATTTATTTAACAATAATATATTTCATAAAAACAGGTGTTTTTAATACGTTAGTAAATAACGATGGTTAAAGTTAGTATGTGAATAGTGATAAAAAAAATTAAAAAAAAGAAAAAAAAAAGTGTCAATTATTTAAGAATGGAGAGAGTATGTGATATTTGCAAATTCTCTTAGTGTACATATTAGTTAAACTAGCATAGCACCCGTACAATGCATGGCTTACAAATCATAATACTTATATTCATTTCACAAAATTATAAGGTAAAACGATTTACAAATCATAATACTTATATTCATTTCACAAAATTATAAGGTAAAACGATTTGGTGATTAATAATGAATTTACTTACATATACATTACTAACCTCTCAAAATAATGATATACTACTTTAAAACAACTTATTTATGGGAGATTTTTTTGTGTGGCCGGGGTTACCCGAGTTACTCCAAACCGAGTAACCCCTCAAGTAACCTCTAAGTCTCTAATCGAACCCCTCGAGTAACCCCTGACCGAGTAACCCCTCAAGTAATCCCTGACCAAAAAAGTAACCTTGACTGAGTAACCCCTCGACTATTCCCTGACTGAACCCCTAAAGTAACCCCTGACCGAGTAACCCC